CAGCCTGTGGGAGAGACTACAGGAGCCCACCATGCCACTTTGCTCAAGGCAGCTGGCAGTCAGCTCCATCACACAGGTAGCGTCATCTCTGTGCTGATGCTGGCATGAGACTGTGAGACCAGGAAACACAGTGTGGTTCTGTTTCTGTGCACTAAGAATGCTCTTTAAGCTTTATCAGGTCTATATGGATCAATGCCCTATGGTGAACACCAATGCTGTGAGATAATGCTCTTGTACACTGTAAAGATTTGTCACTCTATTGGTTTAATAAAATGTTGATTGGCCAGTAGCCAGGCAGGAAGTATAGACGGAGTGACTAGACTAGGAGAATTCTGGGAAAAGAAATAGCAGAGACAGGGTCACCAGCCAGACACAGAGGAAGTAAGATCAGAATGCTGAACTGAGAAAAGCTACCAACCCATGTAGCTAAACATAGATAAGAATTATATATTAATTTAAGTGTAAGAGCTAGTTCATTATAAGCCTGAGCAATAGGCCAAACAGTTTTCATAATTAATATAAACTTCTGTGTGTTTATTTGGGACTGAGAGGCTGTGGGACCAGGTAGGACAGAAACTTCCATTTGCAATTGGCGCCCCACATTGGGCACCAGATTTTGCATGAATCCTAAATGGTCTTATGATAAAAACCCAGAGCCAGATATCAGGGTGAAAGCTGAAAGATCAGAGAAGCAGAGCAAGCCACAGCTATCACCTCTTACCTCACCAACTCCTCAGCCTGACAGAGCCTCTACAAGAGAGTAAATTCCTGTCTCTTCCCACCTTATATCCCTTTCTCTGCCCAGCCATATGATTTCCTGTTTCAACCTTCCTAGTGCTGGGATTAAAGGTGTGTGATCCCCAGTGCTGGAATTAAAGATGTGTGCCACCACTGCTTGGCTCTGTGTAGTGGGTTCCAGCTTTGACCTTGAAATATTGCCCCTAGTGAGACTTTTGGTAACTGCTACATCCACCTATGACCTACCCCTGGGTGGGGCCAAGACGGGAGCCCATCCAGATGTGCCAGGTCTCTTGTTTCTTTGTGATCCTGGATGCTGGATGGTAGACTGAGCAGAGTTCTCCAGAGAACACCACTGGACTGCACTTCACCTCTCCTGGATCCTGGAACCAACCCCTTTACTTGCCTATAAGTTACCCCCAAATAAACCTCCTTTTTAACTACATGGAATTGCCTTAATAAATTCCTACAATAGCTCCATTTCTTTTTTAGACTGGATTAATCTCGTATAGCCCAATGTGGACTTGAGCTCACAGAAATCCAGATGGAGGAGCTCTGCCTCTGCCTCCCAAGTACTAGGATTGAAGGTGTGTGCCACCACCACCTGACCTCTGTGGTCAACTCTGTGGCCGGCTCTGTCTAATGATCTTCAGGAAAGCTTTATTTCTTAGATTACAAATATCACCACCAGTAACCATGAAAGGTGGATTACGTTGTCATCTCCATTGTATTTATTCTTGTTACTTTGTAGGTGGGGAACTGAGGATTGAGAATTTTACCCAACAAGAAAGAGAGAATGGAAAAGACAGAATTTGTCTCTGGGTCTACAGGGCTGTGAGCCCTGTGGTCACCCACATTGGTAACCCTTCAATTTATTGCTGGTCTCAGTTATGAAGGCAGATATCTAAGCCTGCGGCCAGCATGTGGGGCACTAAATTACTTCCTATTCATGATTTCTCCCTTCTTCTTGTAAACCCCATGGATTCTCAGCTTTCTTTCTCTTTATTTATTTATTTATTTATTTATTTATTTATTTATTTATTTATTTATTTATTTATTGAGACATGTTTCCATCCTTAGGGTTCTCTCTTCTCTCCTCCTCTTGTTCCAAATGAGCATCATCAAAGGAAAAAGACAGTGAGGGGAAGAAGCTTCAGATCCATCAGGGTTCTTACAGTCAGTATTCAACCAACAGAGACACAAGCTTTCTCTTGGAAAAGTCTCACTTTCAGTGACTTCCTTTCTAGGTTGCCTCCTAGGCTTTCTCTTGGTTTGGGTTGTCTCGGTCCACTGTAGCTTGAAAGAGCCGCTTAGATTATGAAGATGACGCTAAATCAGTTTTACACTCTTTACCTAGGCTGGGTGTTTTATCCATTTCTTCATCTCTTTATCAGTGGCCAGCCTCTCAGCTGGAGAAAATTCCCATCAAAGACCCCAGAAGCTCACCCACATGCTTCAAATTGCATGCTGAGGATGCTTCCTCAGAGAGCCATCTCCTTGGCCCTGATGCTATCTGTATCCTGGTAATTTGCTAGCAGAATGTTCTCCAGCCAGACTCTACTGCTGTCCCCAACTAGCTAACTTCTTTTCTACACACTCTGCTTGTGAGCATTACCACACTGCTCCAGTCACTTTACTCACTTCTTTGGAAAATGGTACTGTCCTTGCTTTTCCTAACTTCATGCTTCTCCTCTTACTTTTCCATCCCTTCCTCAAGTGTCAGTCCCACTGTTCAGCCTTGTCTTTTACTTTCCAGGCTTGACATGAGTTGTCCTAGAAGGTGAATACAGCTCATGGCTCCAATATCACCGTAATGATGACGCACAAGCTTTTTTACACCTTAACTCAAAAAAAAAAAAAAAAAAAAAAAAAAAAAAAAAAAAAACATCTGGCAGGAAATGTCCAGGTAGAGTTCACTATAAATCTTTAACATACTATCTCTTAGATTCATATTTCTGACCTTTCCATCTTTCCAGAATTTTATGTGAGTACACAAAAGTTATTCCTTTAGCTATTTATTCATTATCTTGTCCAATAAACATTTACCAAACATGTATTCAGAGTCAAGTTCTGGGCAAGGCAGTGGTAGCACAGGAGCAAATGGTATGTCTTGAGTCCGACACTCAAGGTCTTCCATCCATTAATTTCACCCTCACACAACTGTTCTCCCATGGTTCCCAGCATTTCTAAGAGCTGTAGTTTAACTGGTTTCCATCAGTCACACAAATGAGTTTTTTATTTTTTCTCACCTCTATGCCTTTGGTCTTTTGTGATTCCTGCCTACAATAACTTCTCATGCTTCTGTCATCTAAAAAGTCAATATTTCTCACAAGCCACGTGTATTTTGAAATAATTAACATAATTCCATTTCCATTTTCTAAATCCCTATAGGATGTTGTGACTCAATGGTCCCTTCTTTCTACTGTGATCATAGCAACTAGGAAGATGTGACAGAGAGTATATTGGTAACATGTTTGTCTTAGAGTCCTTTAGTGAGGCTGTTGTAGCAAGGAAAAACTTCCTGACAAGGATGAAATTAAAGCATTCTTCCACTCACTCCTTTATTCTTCCACTCATTACTCAGCTCTTTGCAAAAGTCCTACAGGTTTCCAGAGAGTGTGAGACCTGTGATAGGATGGCTATCCATGCATCTGGCTCCCTGACCCCTGGCTGTGCTGGTCCTGCTCCACTGAAGCCTCATTGTACTTACTGGCAGATTCAAGCCTTGCTACACGGGAAGCTAGTGTAGACTATGAAACACCAGACTACAGTGAGCAAAATGCAAGGATTATTCTGATGCCCATAGGACTTCATGATGGACCTCTTCTAGAAGGTCCAGCTCAAGTGAATGTCCAATAAACCCAACACCCTATGAGAAATACGAGCTGGTATTTTAAGGAAAAGGAGCACATCCACCTAAACCATAAAATACACCTTTTCTTCAATATCTCTATGACTTATCCAAGTGAGAAAGTCCCTAGAGTTGACCCCACTGTTCAGATTGTGGCATCTACACTAGACTTGACCCATGACAAGTCTGCTATGATCATGGTAGATGTCCTAAAGGTCATGGATGCATGCTGGAATCACAGTATCATGTGGGAGCCTGCTTTCATCAAAAAATTTTCCTATGTCATTTGAAGACTCTTTCAAATGGTGAATGACTAGACCTTATAGAACAACCCAGCTAGAACTTTCTAAGACAGACCACAGAGACACTGAATTATAAGTACTGTATTATGTGATCCAGTGGAAGGGGAGTATCAGTGTAACTGGAATTCCTTACTGGTCTTCTACCCAACAACAAGAACAAAGCATTTTGGAAACTGATGTCCCTACTCATCATGTTCTACCTACTCTCAGAACTAGAGAACTGGTCGCAGGCATAACGGCCTCAGACTTCATTCCCCCCAAGTAGTAGCCTCAAAGTGCAGCCCACAGCTTGATAGAACATGTCATGGTCAGAATCAAATGATCCACATGGACTTCGGGAGACACTGGTTTTGTGCACAAGAGTAACTGATCATGAGATTATGAGGCCAGCACTGACGACTTCACCCTATGGGATGTCAGTCAACACCAAAGACTCCCAGAGAGTATGAGGCCTGTGCTAGGATGGCTATACATGCATTTGGCTCTCTGAGCCCTGGTCTGACTTTCATGCACAGCTTCACTCACATGGGCTGTAAAGCATGAAAAAATGAGGATAAGGCAAGCAATAATCTCTATCAGTGATCCTAAGGTCTGAGCTTCTCATCCTGATACAGTGTTTAACTTGAGAAGTCAATGATTCTTTCTCTATCCCCACAAGCCTATCTATAAAATAGGCTTATTTTTATAAAATCAGATATTCATGGGCCCGTAGAAAGTACTGAGAAAGCACAAATCTTAGAAAAGCTGACACTTATGCATGTTGTGTTTCTTGTTGTGTTGTTTTTGCTTTACAGTATTTACTTTCTATTGCATCCTCAGGACCTGTCAAAGTACATGTCACATAGTAGGCAGGCAGGCATGAAGTGTAAAAGAATGAATGGACCAGAGCTTTGGCAATCAATAAAATTTTAAAAGCTTGCAGAGTATCTTAATTTCTTTCCTGCGTCCCTCTTTCTTTCTCAGCAGTCAGTTTACAAACATCTCAACTTGAGTCTCAATCTGCATTTTGTTTCAAGGGCACAGTTGGCTGTAAAGTAGGAATTCTGTGTGATTGGGTTGGGTACCTGTCACTCACATAGTTAAATGGACTCTCTTTTTATAATTAACAAACAGAGAGAGCATGAATGCTGGCTGCCTCTCACTACCTCAAATTGTGGAGTTGAGTTTACTGTATTTGGGGAGATTAAAGGGGTCAACACACCCAGAGTGTAATGGATGGACCTCACCCTAGGAACTATGTTTGTGATCGTAGTCTTTCCCCTATCAGATAAGCATAGGACACTCTTAACACCATCCCTAATATAGGGTTTAAAGTATGGATCAGTGTAGAAGAAAAGGAATAGTCAGAAGTCAAAGTTCACACCTGACCTTTTCTCTGGAAACCTGGACCAAGAAGTCTGGCAATACTAGAGCAGAGGGAAAGTGACAGAGATGATCAGATAGAAGACATGTGTGCATATTACCAGAGCCAATCCTCAAGCTGCATATAAACCACCTTAAGCCTTCATTAACCAACCATAAATAGCAGAGAAGGCTTGAGCTCTACCTGTTCAGGTCCAAGTGGCAGGGCACCTCTTCTTCCATGGGGCTCAGGCCATGGAAGGAGAAGCCCATTCTGATAGCCACGGTTTCTTCTCTTGACATTGTTGCCAGTAATGGCTTGAATATGAGATACCCCCCATGGGCTAACTGTTAAAGATGTGGTCTCTAACTGGTGGACTTGATTCAGGAAGGGGGATGGAAAACCATAGGAAGTAGGTTCTGTAGTTATGTTCTGTGGAGTTGTGTCTGGCCTTGGGCATCTTAATACCTTTCTATTTCTGGGTCACCATGAGGTGAAAAGCATCCTCACATGCTTCCACCTCTGTGATATTTTGTCTTGCTTCATGCCCAGGGTGGCAGAGCCCAGTGTGACAGAGTTGGCTTGCCATGGACTAAAACCTCTGATAGTGTGCTCTTTTAAACTGTGTCTCTTAGATATTATGAGGTCATTGCTATGACCCATTCCACTAAGTGGTTCAGAAGACTTTCGAAGCTGTTTGTGAGAGAAATTTGGAAAAGCAAGCTAGAGTGGCACTAGAACACTGTGATCAGCGTGTTTTCTGCAGTTCTAATGGGAGTTTAGCATATCCAAACAATAATGGAAACACAGACAGTAGAGACTCAACTCAGTTTTAGATGAGAATAAGGACTCTGTTGGGAATTGAAGTAGAGACCATTCCCTCAGACTTGGAGGAAAGCTGAGTTTAAGTATGACAAATTAGTTAATATGGCAGAAGAAATGTCAAGGCAGGCTATCATTCAGTATGATTATTGCTGCTGCTTTTAGCCAAGTTTATAATGAGAATTGGGAGCAAAGAGCAGAGGGGAGAGGTTTGAAAAACAATTTGGCCAGAAAATAAACTCATTAGTGCATTTCTCAATTCTCAATAGAGAAGCTTCTTTTTGCATTAGATAGTAATTAACACAAAGACACACAACTGGCCAAGGTGCAGAGAATAAGAAAATTGAGGAATGCCCAGTACTTAATGAAATATCTGTATCACACCTACTTCTCTAAAATCTCAAGAATCACCATGGAAGAGGAGACAGATTTTGAGAGCCAGGGGTGGTGGATGATTAAGAGGAAATAGTGTTTTTCACACACAACAGGAAAAGTATCACTTATGAACTGACAGTGTCTGTGACAGCATACATGAGATCTGTGCAGGTTTAAGTCAGAAAAAAATACCATCATGGAAAGAGGAAGTAGTCATGAAGTCCCACACAGAGCTTAGGACCTAATGATATGTAGCTACTGTGACAGGTAGAGTCAGTTCTCTTTAAGGGTATGGTCCCTGGTGAGAAGACCATGCATTCAAGAATAAGTAGGCAGCTATAAATTGGACCTGGTGTGATTTTTGTTATTGACGTTTTAAAGTGGACCCAAAATTAGGTGGGTAGGGAAATCAGGGTAGATCTGAAAGAAGTTAGAAGAGGGTGAATCTGATCAAAATGTACAAAATTCTCAAAGAACTATTAAAAAACTGTGAAAGTGGAGAGTTTGCCTGTTCAAAAGATTAGGACTATTAAAAAGAAGACAAATACTTTACATTAAGACAATAAGCAACGTGGCAAAGCATCTCAGGAATTGCTATGCCATGCCAAATTATGTATGACTCAAGCTCATCTAAAAGTCTTTTCTTTAAGAAGAAGGCCTAGATCTTAGGGAACCTTCTTGATCGCTTCTGGCTAGCTTTTGATGGGAGTCTACTTTGCTAGGTATAAGTATTTTTGGTTTCCATTTGCTTTGTAAATGACTTACACACAGCTGTATAGGGAAAATTTTTGCGTATTAAAATATGTAGACATTCAAATGACATTGGACATTATAGCTGTGGTTCAAGGAACCCTGTTCCTGTTCAGGCGAGTGACAGATTTTAACATTATTCACATAATAAATACTGGAATAAGAGACATTCAAAATGCAAGAATAATGGTGCTGTGGAGGCATCCAATTAGACTTCAAGGAAAAGCCTGACATACTGTGGCTGAAGATTTCTCAAATCTAGACAAAGAAATGAGGCTTCGAACACAAAAGGCACTTAGAACCCCAAAATAGATGTAACCAGAGAAAATGTACAATGCAACAAATAACAATCAAGATGACAAAGTAACAAAACAAAGAAAAAGTGTCAAAAACATCAGGGTAAAATGCTCAATTCACAAGGACAAAAGCATCAGCATAATGTCAGCAGAAAAACTTAAAATCCAGGATAGCATGGGATGATGTATTTCAAACCCCTAATAGTAAATAACTGCCAAAAGAGATTGCCACCTCCAAAGTCAAATTTATCTTTTAAAATCCACAGAGAACAAGAAACATTTCAACACAAGTACAAACGAAAGAACCCACGACCATTGGTTGGAGAAGATCCTTAAAGGAAATCTAAACACTGAGGTGGAGCAATGACAACCATAAGAGGACAGGAAAAAACACATTTCCTAAGAGTATTAGATGAACAAAGGAGAGCTGGGACTGAATCAATCATGTCCAGCTTGGCAACACACCAAACTCTCATAAAGGAACAGGGTAGAAACAAAAGAATAAATAATTGGGCCACCAGAAAAACAACCATCAAAGTTAAAGAAATTAGTAACTCCCTCTTCATAATAACTCTAATGTACATGGTCTTAATTATCCAATTAAAAGATGAAGACTAATAACTGTTTGGACTTGAAAAACAGTGTCTAACTTTTGGTCGTCTAGCAGAAACACATCTCACTGGCAAAGATCCATGCAGACTGAGAACGACAGGATGCAAGTCATTTACAAAGCAAATGGAAACCAAAAGTACTTGTACCTAACAAAGTAGACTTCCAACAAAAGCTAGCCAGAAGTGATCAAGAAGGTGGCTGACTACATGGGTTGTTATATAGCAGTTTTTTCCTGAGTTGAAGTATTCCCTCTAGGGGGTAAACAAAAATTCACATGGCTGGGAAAGAAAAAACATGAAATGTTCTCAAAAGTCCCTTCCCAGCTTTGTAGAATGAGTAAATCACAGATGGAAGAGACTCTGATCAGCTGAGATACAGAGAGGAGATATAGTGGACCTGTCCAGCTTTCAGAGAAAGCTCCAGGGTTGCTACTTTCATGAGTCATTATCTGTGTTGGAGTGAGATTTCTTTTTAAAGCTGGTTTGAATCAGCTACTGTAAGCAGCTCTTATTACCTACTATAAGCAGCCTCTTATTCATATTCCTACTAGTAACTGTAATACAAATTCTGGTTCACCAAGTTGGACTTTGGTGAAGTGGTTACTTTGATCTGCCATGGGTTTCTAGGCGAACATGTGTGTGTTGCATCTCTCCATGAAAAGTCTGTCATACAAGGGTTATGAAAGGGACCAGTACAACAATATGTTATAATAATTGCAAATACAATTGCACCAAAGGTTGCTACTTCCAATTTCATAAATAAAATTATATTAAATGAATAAGAACTAACAACAAAGTTCCCCAAACTCATCCAGAAAACAAGTGACATCAAATACTGGTGAGAGTGTTGGTGAACTGAACTCTTCCAAGCTGCTGGTGGAGATGTAAATTAGTCTAGCCGCTATGGTAACTAGGATGGAAGCACTGCAAAAAGCTAAAAATAAAACTTCCATATGGCCCAGCTTTACTATTCCTGTCAGCAAATCATGGGGTATTTGTACCCCCATATTTATCATTCATGCTACTATCCATTCTCCTTAAGATATAGAACTAGTCTATATGCCCATTGATAAATGAATAGACAGAAAATTTTGTCTATGTGATACATAAATATTAATGAAATATATATATGTATATATATTTATGATATATATGATATGATATATATATATCACAAAAGTAGAAACTAGAGATCTTTGTGCTAAGCAAAATAAGCCAGATTTATAAAGATAAATATTGCATGTTTTCTCTCATATGCATGCACAGGCCATCCAAGAGGAGGGAGGCCATATGCTCGTAGTCAGCAAGGCCATAGGTGTATGTCTCCCCAAGCCTATTGGGGCTCACATCACATTACCATACATACACTTCTGTGCCAGACATGGAACTATGGGGCTTTTGTACTGATGGCTTTTGTTCTGGTTCTGGTTAACTGCTTCCTCACTATTTCTCTATTATTCTCTTTGGACTGGTAGTTTGTAGTAGTCTGTGCCACTATGTACTGACAGCATGTGATTTATTCTGGATTTGACAGGGGCTCAGCACTAAGAGTTTGCCATGGGTCACAGAGGAGACCTAAAACTAACTTCAGAATTGCATTGGAACGAAGTTTGTGGGGATCCCAAGAGATGAATTGGATGCGTTTTGTACCAAGAAATGGCCATGTGCCTTTTAGAGACTTAATGTTGGGAAGGTCATAGAGGGAACACGCAATATCCCCGCAGGTTGATTGCTGAAGCCTTCATCCCTAGCTGGTTGCTCCGTTTTGTGAGATGATGGACACTTTCACAGGTAGAACCTGCCTGGAGGAAGTAGGTCTCCAAAGATGTGTTCTTTGGTGGGTTGTATCTTGTCCCTTTTTGTCTTTCTCTCTCCTTTTTGGCTGACAAGGGGTCAAGATGCTCTTCTGCCCATTCCTATTACCATGAGGTTTCCCTTGCCCCAGGCTCAAAGCAACAATGACAGCCAATCACAGAATAAAACCCCTGAAACAATGGGCCAAGTGAAATTCTTCAACTTTCTCCTGGGTACTCACCACAGTGGCGGGAGGTGTACTAACACACTGTCCAAGCTCTAGAT